GATGACTGAAGGCTGATGATACTGTAATTTGGCATCTAGTGAGATGCAGTTACTCTCCTAGGCCACTTAGCTCCAGTAAAGTTCAATTTAAATTGTGAAACAATGAAGAAATATAAAAGTTCCAATCAAGAGCATAATTCTCAGTCACGCTGGCCATAATATGCTCCTGAAAGATGTTTTCTTGGACTGAATCTCTGCTAAAGTGTACACATGGGGCAGAATACCAGGAAATCTCGGTAGAAAGGCTTGGCATTCACTTTCGTATTTTTCCCTTTTCTCATGGGGATGATGTATTTCTGTTGGGGTCATTTATGTTTAATTAAATGATAATTTCTGGATTTACTAGAAATGGCTGGTTGCTAAATTAAATTATAACTCAGTAAAACAATCTTTCCAACTGCTTTCTTTAGTTGTTATTTAATATAAAAAATGTAGCACCTGATCTTTGGTATGATTTACTCTTTCCCAAAATAGACAAAGTTTTATTTAATGTTAAAAGGCAAAGTTAGCATCTTATTTTGTCCTGTAGCTTGTAATCCATGAATATCATATACTTTAATCCTCAAATTATTCTAGATTTAATCAGTAGAAAAATGTGTGTGTGTGCGTGTGTATTACGCACACACACACGTCTGTGTATTTATATATTTATAGATATAGATACAGATATAGATATAGATACAGATACGGATCAGTGGGTCTTGATCAGGGGAGATTTTGCCCACCATGGGACACTGAAATATCAGTGTCTCATGATATTTCTGGTTTTCACAACTCAGGATCAGCAGGAGGGACAATCAGAGGGTTCTACTGGCATCTGATGGGTTAAGACCACAGATGCTGCTAAACATCCTACAGTGTATCTGCAGAGTAATAGGCTTATCTAATGCAGATATCTAGAATTATCTGGCCCAGAACATCAATAGTGTCGAGGCTGAGAAACCCTAATTTTTGGGGAGTGATAAAGTAAACATGGCAGAATATTGACATCAGGATGAAGGGCATATGGGAGTTGTCCTACTGGTTTGTAACTTTTCTGTAAGTCTAAAATTGTTTCAAAATTTAAAGTTTTAAATAGGTACAGTGGCAGTTTGGTCTTAACATTTTGAATCTGCAGTGTACAGGTAGAAAATGACGTGTCCCTTGTTGGAAATAGAAATTCAGCTTAGTCATTGTCTATTTTCTTTGGGTCCACAGTCTTCAGGGACAGGAAGGTGAGTTAGCAGAGGTCTCAGGTGACCTATGTCCCATTTAACAGCTGAGAAAATGGGTAGAGTCAATGGCCCATGACTACATCTGCTTGCTCTGCCATGCCATGAGAGCATATGTGTCTCCTGCCAAGGCCGTGTTTAGCCAGAAAATGGATGTTTTTAAGTTTTAAGCTGTTCTTTAGAACCTGGGGTTGGAAGCCACTGATGAAAAACCAACCCTTGTCCACTCAGGCCCTCCTTAACTGCATCTTGTCTCCAGGCTGCATTATAGTTTTTAAACATGTATATCTCACCAAGAAACTGTTCTTAGGTCTTTTTCATGAGTTTATTCCTTGATTCCTTAACAATATCATGAGCTCCTCTGGGTTAGGAGCCCTGTCTTCTATTGTATGTGTGTGCAATATAGTGGCTAAGAAGAGTTCAAGCTCTGCAGACATACCGCCTGTTTCACCTCTTACTATTATAGTTATGTGGCCTTGGTCATATTATCGAACCTGTTGGTGCCTTAGTTTTCTTAGCTCTTAAATGGGAGAAAATAGCACCACCTTATAGAGTTGAAATGTATTATTACGTATACATCGACACAACAGTGGCATATATTAAGTTAACATTCATTCATTCATTCAGTATTATTAGGATTATTTCTGCCCTCCTTACACCCCTGTACAGAGTTCCCTAACCTTTGTGTTAGGAAGATGTCGCTGATGTGTCCCAACCATCCAAGTGCTTCGTGTAGCCTCCTCTCTGGATCTTGCTGTTTCCGTTGCATGACTGAAATACTTTTGGAGAACCTCCATGCTCTGAGGCAGGCATTTAACCTGGACTCTTGAATATCTATGTCTCTGTCCTTCTCCCATCTCATCCCATCCTATCCAAATCTCTCCTTCCATTCACTGAGTATTTCTGATGAGCCATATACCATACTAAAGTTTTTAAAATTATTTTGTTTGCTTCTTATGAGAACTCCGTATGAGATAGAGGCCGTTATTCTCCTCACGATACAGTTAAGGAAGCTTAGGCTCACAGAGGTTAATTGACCTGACCGAGACTGCAGAATTAAGAAGTGGTATGCCATTTCCTCCACTTGTCCAGGGGTAACGTACTTTGAGTTGGGAGAAGACCTGCTGTGTAACTGAAGGTCAATGAGAGCCCAAGGAGTTGATGCCACTCTCCTGTTTCACTTCCTTGCAAATCACAAAAGCTGGAAAAGATGTGGCTAGATGGGCATGTAGCATTTTGGTTGTGCCAGGGCTGTGCTAGGTGCTGAGCATATAAAAGCATATCAGTGGCCTCAATGTATTTGGTGTCCTAGTTTATCTTTTCCTGTGTAACAAAGTATCCCCAAACTTTGTGGATTAAAATGATTTATTGTTTCTCATGATTCCATGGGTTTGGACGAGATCACTAGACACTTTTTCTGCTCCATGTAATATTGGTTAGTTAGCTATGTCATCACATTTAGCTGGGAGCTTGGGTTGAAGGTCCAAGATGGCGTTACTTAACATGCCTTGCAGTTGGTGCTGGTTGTTGGCTGGGAACTGTCTTCCTCCCAGGGCCTCTCATGCTCCGTGGCCTCTCACTACGTGGTCTCTCCAATAGGAAAGGCTAAGCTTCTTTACATGGTTGTTGGCTTCCAAGAGCGTGAAAATGGAAGCTACATGCCTTTGTAAGGCCTTGTTATAGAAGTCACATGACATCCTTTCTGTCACATTCCATGGGCCAAAGCAAATTAGCAGGCCAGCTCCGATTCAGGGGACAGAGAACAAGGCTCTGCCTCTTGATGTGAGGAATGACGTAGGAACACAGGGATGGGAGTGACTGCTGTAGCCATTCTTGAGAACAATCTACCACGCTCACTGTCCATTAGCTTTGTGGCCAGAAGAACAAGGTTTTAGAGCTGTAAGTGTCCTTTTCTATCATCTGATTCAGCCCCTGCTAGGTTCTAAATGCTTGTGTCGCTTCAAATTCATATGTTGAAACCTGATCACCAATGTGATTGTATTAAGAGGTGGAGCCTTTGCGGAGGTTATTAGCTTGTGAGGGCTCTGCCTTCATGAATGGGATTAGCACCCTTATGTAACAGACCCAAGGGAAGCTCCTTCTATCATGGGAAGGAACAGTGAGAAGGTGCCATCTCAACCAGGAAATGGGCCCTCACCAGACACTGAATCTGCTGGTGCCTTGATCCTGGACTTTCCAGCCGCCAGAACTATGAGAAATGAAATTCTGTTTATAAGTTACTCAATCTGTGTTATTTCGTTACAGCAGCCCAAAGGCACTAGTATAACCCCCTTAACTTCACAGACATAAAACTAAGACCTAGGAGGTCATGCCACTGTCCCAGGCTGTCAAGTCACTTCCCTAGCCCAGCACACTTACGGAGGAGCCAGGCTCAGCCTTCCTATCCCTGGGCTGGACGCCAGAGGCCTTCAGTTAATTTAGTCTCAATGACCAGCATTAACCAGCATTGACCAGTCATAGCTTCCCCATCCTTGCCTCATATATACATTCTAAGCATGAAATGATGCTGGATTTTACTACATGCATGAAAAACGGCTTCATAAACCCCACCAGCTGTTATAAAATGAAATCAAACACATTTACGTAACATGTCACGGTAGCCTGATATACTACAGTACATTTTTCTAAAATCCACAGACAATTACTGCAATATGAAATGTGTTTGTTTTAAAATGGAGTAGGTGAGCCATAAATTATTTAAAAAAAATTTTTTTGAGACAGAGTGTTGCTCTTGTCATCCAGGCTGGAGTGCAGTGACAGGATCTCAGCTTACTACAGTCTGCGCCTCCTGGGTTCCAGCGATTCTTCTGCCTCAGTCTCCCATGTAGCTGGGGTTACAGGTGCCTGCCACCATACCTAGCTGAATTTTGTATTTTTAGTAGAGATGGGGTTTCACCATGTTGGACAGGCTGGTCTTGAACTCCTGACCTCAAGTAATCCACCTGCCTCGGTCTCCCAAAGTGCTGGGATTGCAGGTGTGAGCCATTGCACCTGGCCATAAATTTTTAATTTTCCTTTGTATAACCACAAACCTGAAAATAATTAACACTTTTCCCCAGATCATAGCTCTTTTAGATTATTTCAAGCCTGCTGGGTGGAGGACAGATTTATTTTGTATTGAAGACAGTATTTTAAATGAAATACAGTTCTGAGATTTCCCCAACACTTACGGGGGATATCTGACTCTTACTGAGGGTTAAGGTAAATGACGAGTGATATTCTTAGATTTAGTACTCCTTGAAGACCATAAATTTCCAAGGAAGAGCTAGATGTTCTCCAAGAGAAAAAAAATGCATTAGATTTCTGCTGTATTGACTAAATTGTAAATGGAATAAAAATTTCTTTTATTCTAATAGCATTTACTATATTTGTAGTTTAATAAGTAACATTTATTCTAGATAATTTGGAAAAGACATAAGCATACAAAGGAGAAAATAAAGATCACTCGTAATTTCGCCTTTTAGTCAAAACTACTCCTAACATTTTTTGTGTTTGTTTTTGCCACGAGAGATAGATGAATAAATCTAGAGATTGCTGTGGAGAAAGTGCTGTAGATATACATAAAGATATTTCTTTTTTAAAAATAGAAACGATGGGTGTGAAGACCCTGACCGGTAAGACCATCACCCTTGAGGTCGATTATACTGAAATAATTTTGCAACCAGATTTTTTTGGGGGGGCCTAAAAATAGTAAGAACATTTTCCCATGTTATTAAGTAGCCTTCTACCATGCAGGGAAAGTTAAGTCTTTTTCCCTTATTTTGACAGGACAGTGACATTGAAGCGTTGACCAGGTGTTTGGAAAATGTCCTGGGTTGTCCTTCTCTAGGTGAGTAAGTTCCTTCAGACTTAAAATATGTTGACAGCTACTGATTCTGTTGGAATATCCAAGAAATTAAAAACTTGGAAGAAATCTTACAGGCATTTAAGTATGATATCCTAGTATAACAGATGAAGAAACTGAGGCCAATAAAAGTTGAATGTCTGACCCGAGGGCCAGGAAACTCAAAAGAAAAATTGCTTATTATTATTTTAAGTAACTCTTAGTCTCCAAGGATGAAATAATTGAAGTTCAGTGTCCTTTGTAATCAAATGGTAGCCTAGCAGTGCATAATAAGTCTTGCAGTTTCTGGAAAAAGGAGTCTCCCTACGTAACTTGTCCCGTAGAAGCAGAGTACATTCAGTCAAGCTGAGAGGACCACCACTCTGAAGGTCAGTCAGTTATTTGAAGAGATTCGGTCTGAAAAACAAAACCAAAACTTTTTTAGAATTGTCAGTCTCAATAAGTAGGATTGCTGCGCGTCAGGGATAAAGCCCCATTTCTTAGTTTCTTCTGTTTGTTTTTTTTTTTTTTTTTTAATCTGAAAAGTCTGACTGTGATACATTCTCACTAGATAACTAGAGAACTGTCATACAAAGTAATCTTACTAGATGAAAAGGGCTGAGATATTTTTTTCTTCTAAGTTTGATTACAGGTTTTTATTTAAAAAATTTTAACTGTAAACCAAAAGCAGTCTCTTCAAAGGGAATGGCAGGAGTAAAAATAATTAAGTTTTCAGGTGGGCAAACATTCACTATTTTATTAGGAGATTTATGCACAATTTATAGCATTTTTCTAGCTTATTCCACATCTCCATATGGGAAGCCTCAGTCATAACATAGCTCTTTGATTTTCTCACCTGACGATCACCCTGTGATCTGTTTAATTGTATATAAAATACCCTTATTCGATACATTTAACATTTAACAAGTACATTTAACATCTAACAGGTACATTTAACATCCAAGCATGACTTAAGACCAGGAAGGCTTTTTCATCTCTGGACCTCAGATTAGAAGACAGATTTTCAATCTAGGCTCCTTGGAGACCTCCAGGATGAGGGGTTGGGAGTACTAAGCGGCATGAGAACAGAAGCCATGTCTATACGGCTCATCTCTATTTTTCTAGAATCTAACACTATGTCTAGTGTAGAAGAGGCCCTTAAAAATATTTTAAAATATTTACAGTCGAAGGTGGTGGCTCACACCTGTAATCCCAACGTTTTGGGAAGCTGAGGTCAGAGGATCACTTGAGGCCAGGAGATTGAGGCCAGTCTGGGCAACATAGCAAGACCCTGTCTCTAAACAAATTTTTAAAAATTCAGCCAGGCATGATAGCATGTGCCTAGAGTCCTAACTCCGTGGGTTGCTGAGACTAGAGGATTGCTTGAGCCCAAGAGTTTCACGTTGCAGTGAGATGTGATTATACCACTGTACTTCAGCCTGGGTGCCAGACTGAGACCCTATCTCAAAAATATGTATTATTGTTACTGTTTCTATAAAATAAAGGGGTATAATGCAGTTTTCTTACGCGGGTATATTGCATAGTGGTAAAGTCTGAGCTTTTAGTGTAATCATCACCTGAAAAGTGTACATTATATCCATTAAGTAATTTTTTATCCCTCATCTCTCTCCCAGCTTCCCACTTTTCTGAGTCTCTAATGTCTATTAATTGACACTCTATATACATATGTACACATTATTTAGCTCCTGCTTATAAGTGAGAACATTAGTATTTGACTTTCTGTTTCTGAATTGTTTCACTTACGATAATGGCCTCCAGTTCTTTCCATGCTGCTGCAAAAGACACGATTTTATTCTTTTTTTGTGGCTGAATAGTATTCCATAGTGTGTGTGTGTGTGTGTGTGTGTGTGTGTGTGTGTGTGTGTGTGGTTGTTATCCAATCATCTGTTGATGGACAATTAGGTTGGTTCCATATCTTTGCTGTTGTGAATAGTGCTGCAATAAACATAAAAGTGCAGGTATCTTTTTGATAAAATGATCTTTTCCTTTGGGTATATACCCAGCAGTGGGATTGCCGAATTGAATGATATTTCTTTGAGACATCTCCATGCCATTTTTCATACAGGGTGTACAAATTTATATTCCTACCAACAAAGTATAAACTTTCTTTTTTCTCTACATCCTCATCAACATCTGTTATTTTTTGTCTTTTTAGTAATAGCCATTCTGACTGGTGTAAGATGATATCTTCTTGTGGTTTTAATTTGCATTTCTGTGATGATTAGTGATGTTGAACATTAAAAAAATTTTTTTTGAACATTTATATGTCTTCTTTTAAAAAAAATGTCTGTTCTTGCATTTCCTTTGCCTACTATTTATTTGAGTTATGTGTGTGTGTGTGTGTGTGTGTGTGTGTCATGGTTGTGTTCCGTCCCTGCCAGATTGATAGTCTGCAAATATTTTCTCCTGTTCTGCAGATCGTCTGCTTATGCTCTTGATTTGTTTTTTGTTTTTTTTTTGCTGTGCAGAAACATTTTAGTTTAATTAAGTCCCATTTGCCTATTTTTTTGTTTTGCTGCTTGCACTCTTGTAGTCTTAGTCATGAATTCTTTCCATAGACCAATGTCCAGAAGAGTTTTCCGTAGGTTTTCTTTAAAAAAATTTTTTTTTAAATTTCAATAGGTTTTTGGGGACCAAGTGGTGTTTGGTCACATGAATAAGTTCTTTAGTAGCGATTTCTGAGATTTTGGTGCTCCCATCACCCGAGCAGTGAATACTTTATCCAGTGTGTAGTCTTTTATCCCTCCCCACACCCCCACCCTTTCCCCCAAGTCCCTAAAGTTCAGATGTATCACTCCTACGCCTTCATGTCTTCATAGCTTAGCTCCTACATGAGTGAGAACATAGGCTGTTTGTTTTCCCATTCCTGAGCTACTTCACTTACAGTAAGTTTCCGATGCCATCCAGGTTGCTGCAAATGCCATTATTTCATTCCTTTTCATGGCTGAATAGTATTCCATGGTGTATGTACCACACGTGTATGTGTATCATATTTTCTTTATCCACTTGTTGATTAATGGACATTTGGGCTGGTTCCATATTTTTGCATTTGCAAATTTTGCTGCTGTAAACATGCACATGCAAGTATCTTTTTTCATATAATTACTTCCCTCTAGGTAGATACCTAGTAATGGGATTGCTGAATCAAACAGAAGATCTCCTTTTAGTTTTTTTAAGGAATCTTCATACTGTTTTCCATAGTGGTTGTACTAGTTTACATTCCCATCAACAGCATAAAAGTGTTCCCTTTTTACTGCATCCATGCCAACATCTTCATTTCCTGACTTTTAAAATTCTGGCCATTATTGCAGGAGTGAGGTGGTATGACATGATGGTTTTCATTTGCATTTTCCTGATACTTAGTGATGTTGAGCAATTTTCCATATGCTTGTTGGCAATTTGTGTATCTTCATTTGAGAATTGTCTACTTATGTCCTTAGCTCACTTTTGGATGGGATTTTTGTTTGTTTGTTTCTTGCTGATTTGAGTTCCTTGTAGATTGTGGATATTAGTCCTTTGTTGGACGTATAGATTATAAAGGCTTTCTTCCATTCTGTGGGTTGTTAACTCTGCTGATTATTTCTTTTGCTATGCAGAAGCTTTTTAGTTTAATTAAGTCCCACATATTTATCTTTGTTTTTGATGCATTTGCTTTCAGGTTCTTGGTATTGAAGTCTTTGGCTAAGCCAATATCTGCAAGGGTTTTCCCGATGTTATCTTCTAGAATCTTTATGGTTTACGGTATTAGATTTAAGTCTTTGATTCATCTTGAGTTGACTTTTGTATAAGGTGAGAGATGAGGATCCAGTTTCATTCTGCATGTGGCTTGCCAATGATCCTAGCGCCATTTGTTGAATAGGGTGTCCTGTCCTTTTCCTAGTTTATGTTTTTGTTTACTTTGTTGATCAGTTAGCTATAAGTATTTAGCTTTATTTCTGGGTCCTCTATTCTGTTCTGTTGGTCTATGCACCTGTTTTTATACCAGTACCATGCTGTTTTGTTGACTATGGCCATATAGTATAGTTTGAAGTCAGGTAATGTGATGCCTTCAGATTTATTCTTTTTGCTTAGTCTTACTTTGGCTATGTGGGCTCTTATTTTTGTTCCATATGAAGTTTAGGATTTTTTTTTTTAATTCTGTGAAGAATGATGGTGGTATTTTGATGGGAATTGCATTAGATTTGTAGATTGCTTTTGGCAGTATGGCAATTTTCACAATATTGATTCTACTCATCCGTGAGCATGGGAGTGTTTCCATTTGCTTGTGTCATCTATGATTTCTTTCATCAGTGTTTTGTAGTTTTCCTTGTAGAGATTTTTCACTTACTTGGTTACATGTATTCCTTGGGTTGCTTTTTTTTTTTTTTTTTTTTTTTTGGAGCTGTTGTAAATGGAATTGCCTTCTTGATTTGGTTCTGAATGTGATTGTAATTGGTGTACAGAAATGCCATAGACTTTGGTATGTTGATTTTGTATCCTGAAATTTTACTTAATTTGTTCATCTTATCTAACAGTTTTTTGGTTAAGTCTAGCATTTTCTAGGTATAAGATCATATGGTCAGCAAACAGATAATTTGAATTTCTTTTTTCCAATGTGGGTGCTATTTATTTTTTTTTCTCTTGCCTGGTTACTCTCGGTAGGACTTCCAGTACTATGTTGAATAGAAGTGATGAAAGTGGGCATTCTTGACTTGTACCAGGTTTAGGGGAAATGCTTTCAGCTTTTCCCCATTTAGGATGATGTTGGCTGTAGATTTGTCATATGTGGCCTTTATTATTTTGAGGTAGGTTTCTTCTATGCCTCATTTGTAGAGGGTTTTTATCATGATAGAATGCTGACTTTTTTCTAATGCTTTTTCTGCATCTGGTTCTTAAAAATTTTATGTGGGTACATAGTAGGTGTTTATATTATGGAGCACATGAGATATTTTTAAATAGGCATACAATACGTAATAAGCATATCATGGAAGCTGAGGTTTGGGTTT